GAAAGAAATTGAGGCTAACATACCATTTTCGAATAATGCAACACACGTCTGGAGGACAGTACTTTATGTGATACAAAGTAGGAGAGCTCACATTAGGAGAGCTGTGAGTGATTATTTGCAGTTTTTCACTTACCTGGCAAGAAAGATGGAATCAGACACAGTTCCAGGGGAATGTCCTTGATAACCAGTTATCGTTACTGTTTGGGGCTTTATTCTTCTGAATCTCATGTCATGTCTTGTTTGTAACTGATTATAAACATGCACATGATTCGTACATTTCAGAAGTGAAATGACAATATATCAGGCTTGCACACACCTTACTTATGCATAGGTATCACCACAGGCCTCGATTCATAAAGGTACCTGAGTTTCACTTTAGGCACACAAAATATTTCCTAATTCACAACAGAATGGTTCATAAAACTTCTGCTTAGGTGCTATGATGTTCATAGGCACCATGATAACTACTAGAGGTATTTTTTGCCATTAAGGTTCTATTTCTATGCTAGAGGTTCATGTGGCCACCTTGAGATAAAGGGGAAGAGGAGGCAACGAGTTTTGCCCAAGTGTAGTGTTTAGAGTACTTATGCACTTGAAGACTGTCAGGGAGCATCAGGCTTTTAGTGAAGTGTTGCTGGAGAGCATCTGGGTAACTGCTGTAGAGGACAGACAGCACACACGAGCACAGCAGAGAGGACAAACTATCAGCGACTTTGCAGTTGAGGTAGTTTGTGCAGATGGGAGTTTGAAGGGAAACTGGAAACAGTGTGCAAGACAGCATAGGACTGCTAGAGTTGGTGCAATGACAGTGATGATGGGCCATAGGGAGTGCTCCCCAGCACCAGCTGGACCAGCCAACCATGGCACATCTAGAGGTTTCAACCTAGATCCAGAGGTATGGTAGAATGTGACCATCTTGTTCTCAGGCTGCTGGGGGTGGCACGTGTCTCTCCTGAAGGCTGGGGGGCAACGGTGACTTCACCCATGGGAGATGCGCTGTGGTCAGAGTGCTGAGCTGCCAGCTCAAAGAACTCCAGAAGGACATGAGAAGGACTGTATAGCATCAGGCTGGATAAACAGGAGCTTGACAGCATTTTCAAGGATCCATCAAAGAGATAAGAGTGCCTTTCTGCAGCAGATGGAGGCACCAGTCTGTTGACCAGACTTGCTCTCCAGCAATGCCATGACAGGATAAGACACAGTGTGCACAAATTGAAATACAAAAAAAATCCGTTTTAAGAAAAGTCTTTTTTTCCTGTGAGGGTGGTCAAATGCTGGAACAGGTTGCCCAGATAGGTTGTGGAGTTACTTTACACATTTTGTGACTAAAGAGCTAAGAATACATGCAAACTGGTTTTTACTAGTTACCAGTCATAGTCACATGCCCTTCGTATTAAATGTTTCCTTAATTCAGTATTTTGAAGGCTTTAATTACAGGGAAAATGTCATTTGATTGACTAGAAATACAGATTTGTTTGTCAGAAAATTAAGAAGGATGCCCAAAGGCAGAGTGTGACTGACTGCAGTAGGTTATTTATTAATTTTTCCATTCTTTTCACCTTTATTCGGTTCAGTAATCGGTAACAACAAACTAGATCAGAGAACATTATCTGTCCCTGAGGCCATGCAGTGGAGAATGACATACATATGTACAGTTAAACTCTCTTGCACCTTCCTCTCCTCCTAACTCCACCAAACCAAGCAACTAACCAGGGTGGTTTTGTCTTTACTGGGAAGAAGCTCTGGCTCAGGCATTCCTCCAAGCTATGACCAGGGTTTGTCAGGAGGAGTAATAGCTGGCACCAGCCAAAACTGTACCAGCTGTGCTGACAATTGCCCCAAGAGCAAACCAGCCCAGATTATACCATGTCAGTGCTTGAGCCCATCCCCTGGTCCTGTTGAGGTTGTTATTCATAGTTGTAGTCTCCAATTCTGACTGATCTAAATATGCAACAGAGCTTTACTAGCACAGTTCATTGAAGTTGATATAAAACCAGGGTAGGTACCATCTTGGTATAGGTAAGAGAGGGAAGAAAACCACATAAAACTCTATTTTAGGTGGAGGATATACCATACAGGCTGATGCTGGTAAGGGAGCTAATGCTCCTTTGTACCTCTGCTTCCCAGCAGTTAAAATTGCACTTGAAAGCACAGGTGATTGAGACAGTAGTGATGTAACTATGGCGTGTTTATTCACTTGTGTAGTAAATTATTTTGTGAAATCACTCTCTGTCATTGAAGTCCAATTCTTAGAAAGACTTTTTGAGAGAAATGCAGTAACTACACTTCAAAAAGATATTTTTATAAAGAAAATCTAGGTACACAAATTTAGTTTGTATTGTGAATGTGTCTTTCAGAAAATCTGATTTCCCATTCAGCCTCCTTGCTTTTAAGGAAGTTTAAAATATTTCCTCTATCACAAAGGATGGTGATCAAAGTGTGCTTTCGTGGCAACAACCCAAGGTTCCCATGATTTTCTCAAAAATGTTCCTTTTTTTAAGCATTTACATGCTTCACAGTTTAGAATGGAAAAAATCAATTGCGTGTATTAATCAGAGTATGTAAATAAATTTTATATAAAGAATCAAATTTCAAATAACTTTAATTTTGGTACTTTATAATTGTAGGATGCGTTAGCCTTAAGAAAAATAAATGCTTTATTATATTTGAAAAAAATGTATTAAGATAATAAAACTTTAGCAGAAGTCACAAAGATTTCACAACATACATGTTTAATACTTCAAATTCTGTATAAATTTTATCATGTTTATAAAGTATCATTCTTTAGAATATGGATTACCAGATTGCCACAGCATTACCCATAGCAGATTTACAAAGACTGATATAAAAAAACTCTTCCTGTTTTCATCTTATATGTATTTTTTTAAACTAGAATTGCTTTAAGAAAGAAAAGCTTTCAGACATCATTTTACAAAATACTAAAATTAATTTTGTGCATGATAACAAATCTACTTTTTAATCCTAAAAGTACCCATGTTTATCCTTTCAGAGTAACTGTGGAGGGTGCCAGTAAATTGAGACTCAGTTTGGCAGGAAATGAAGAGGATTCACATAGCAGCAAGCTGGAAAAGCAACTTTCGTACTTCTCACAGCAAAAGCAAGAACCATGTGCCTGGTTCGGTTATTGCAGTATGCTCAATCTGTGTTTTACATAGAAAGTTTTGGGAAAGGGACCAGTTGTCTTTAAGTTAGTTGCAATTTATTTATAAAGTTAAATTACACATGTAGTACTTTAGCAGATAACAGATAGTTATTTAGCTCTGAAATGTATTAAATAACTTCAAGTGTTTAAAATATTATTCATTTTTTTTAGAAAGAGACCTTCATTTGTGAATTCTACCTACCAGAAAAGTTGTGTCTCTCGGTGAGCTTGACTCCTAATTGTGAGACTGAAAACATTCTAACCTGAAATCTGAGATGAAGCACACTGGATAAAGATTATAACTCTAGTTTCTTCAGTACCACAAACAACTATCTTTTTAGTCTAATCTTTTTTTCAAGATGTCTTGGGAGTATTTTAATTTCCGAGGATCTACACAGTTTTTAAACACCTCCAGGGATGGGGACTCCACCACCTCCCTAGGCAGCCTGTTCCAATACTTCACAACCCTATCTTACCGTATTTTACCATGATCAGCTGTACTGAGGATGGATGCTGCGGTTCTGTTGTTATTTGTGCCCCCACACACCAAACTCTGTGCAGTAAAACTGTATTTATTTAGCTTCCATTTTTGTAAAAGGTTTGGATAACATGGTACTGCTGATATTTTAAAGCTTCAAGTATGTGAAGAAATTCAACAGAATAAGGATGGAAGTCATTCCACCTAATTTTGTCTGTCTAAAAATTAAGTGTCTGACTGTGCATTATAGTAGATCTCTCTATCATCAGGGGAAAGAAAAGGGAATCTCTAGATTCTGAGCTATCTGGTATGGTTATCTCTGTCCGTGGGCTGCAGAAGGACTCTAGAGGACTGGCTTAGACTGGTCCTGTTTGGAAAGGCAAATGCCATCTTTCAGTGGCTGGAAAGGCTATGAATTGAACCATTGTAAAATGGTCTAAATCTACAGGATTTTCTTTACCGTGGTTTCCACTAGAACCTGCTTGTTCCGGTATGATACATACTTAATAAGTTTCAAAAAGTAGAGGAAAGCTTTGTGTTTATTGTCAGAATTTTGGGCATATTGCTAGCTAAACTGAAAATATAATTTAAATTATTAAGTTACCTTTTTAGGATTCATACCATTAATCCACAATGAGCTGTGCTTGGTTTTTTTCAGATGTGAATAGTTAAGTTTTAGCAGATTTACACCAAACAAGACAAATTGTGTAATTAGTGATTTGTTTTTGTTTTCAGTCGTAATTCAGATGATGACATTTTGTTAGTCTGTTAACATTTCTTTCTAAACATTTATATTCCATTCAAATTAACAAAGTAGTTTTATAGCCTTGTGTAAATTCCTACTTCTCAATGAGTCCAGCATTTACTTACTCAACCAATGCACTGCAGACTTTTATGGTTACATCTAGGAGCCATTGTATAATTTAGGTTTTCAAAATACTTTACAATCATTTTGAAACTTTAAATTCTTTAAAGTAGTTCTAAACACAAAAACAGGTAAGTGTGTTGTTTGCGATACAGGATACAGTTTTTTCTTTTAACTGTATAACGTTACACAGTTGTGAAGGATGAAATTCTATCTTTGGATGCTCATGAGCGATTTATATTGCAGACAAGATCTGTGTTATCATTGGCAGGGACAGGAAGGGAAGCGGGGCTCTGAACACTAGACGAGGAAAAAGCTAACACTGAGTACTAAATAAAACTTTCTGATTGGTCCACACATTTCTGTAGCATGAATATTTTTCCATCCATGGACATTTTTCATGTGCATGTTGGGAGGCTGGACAGTTGACTTGAAGAGTAAAATTTTAAAAGCAGGTGATAATTTCTTGTCTTTGTCTGTGTTCTTTTAAATAGGAACAGATGTCTCAGGTGTTAGATGCAATGTTTGAAAAGCTGGTTGAAGGAGGGGAACATGTCATTGATCAAGGGGATGATGGTGACAACTTCTACGTCATTGATAGGTGAATTGCTATGTCTTATTATAGCACAAAGTATTACGCAAAAGTCCATTGAGAAGAATCTATGTCTCTAAGTACTTGTATTTAACTTTTACATATGTTTGCATGGGAGAAAATAAAAAGAACACACATGAACCAGTACAGCTTGCTCTGAGCTATGGAGAGCGGTTTTTGAAAGGAGGCAGATTTTTCATATGGAAAGCGGTCCCTGTTGTCTTTATGTATTGCTAGATCTCAAAGGCTGGTTTGTTGTTTTTTTTTTACATGGAAAGAGATCTAACACAAAACAATGGGAAAAGTTTTACAGCTCAGTATTTGAAATCTTATTGCATTTCAATACTATCTGTAGACTTTCTTGTTCACATGAATATTATTAGACCTTGAATAGCTCAGTCATTACTCTTCGTTTGGAGATCTGTACCGGAAAAGGCAGGTAACTTAAGTAAAATCCTAGATACTGATTGCTGTTGAATCCAATGAGTTAGAAAGAGCATTGTCTTCGGCATCCTTCACTAGTCTGTTGGCACAGGCTCCAGCCAAACTGTCCCAAAACACCTTTTCTTATTTATACCTTTAGTTTTAGGCTAACACAGTGATTTCTGAGAGTGTTTGAAAGGAATGTTATGCTAGAACTCTAAAAGAAATGCAAAGGTTTTTGATCAGTGTAGATCAGTATAACCAGCCGGTCAAAAGAGGTGATTATCCCACTGTATTTAACATTGGTGCAGCCTCACCCGGAGTGTGGGCCCCATAATTTAAGTAGGATGTGAAGGTCTTTGAATGCATCCAGAGGAGAGCAACAAAGCTGGTGAAAGGGCAGGAAGGCATGTACTATGAGGAGCTGCTAAGGGCTTTGAGTTTGTTTAGTTTGGAGAAAAGGAGGCTGAGGGGTGACCTCATTGCTCTCTACAGCTTCCTGAGAGGTGGAGAGGGAGATGCTGATCTCTTCTCCCTGGTATCCAATGATAGGCTACATGGAAATGGTTCAAAGCTGCTCCAGGACAGGTTCAGACTGGACATTAAGAAGCATTTCTTTATTGAGAGGGTGGTCAGACACTAGAATAGGCTGATGCCCGAAGCCTGTCAGTGTTGAAGAGGCATTTGGACAATACCTTTAGTAATATTCTTTAACTTTTCATCAGCCCTGAACTGGTCAGGCAGTTGGTGATCATGTAGGTCCCTTCTAACTGAAACATTAAATCAGAACATCGTAGAAGTGTGTCAGGATTCTTTGCTGAAGAGTCAATGTTTTTCAGTTTTCCGAGGTTGCAATTTGTCATCTCTTATCCAAAAAGCTGCAGGGACTTCATAATATTCTGTCAGCTTTGTGGTTTTTAGGTGCAGTGAATCACCTCTAAGTCCCTTATCAATGAAATCATCGTACAGATTTTTGCATTACATTCACATGATTTATCAACACATATACCATACAAATAGTCAGTGCTGAACAAAACGATGGCTCAGCATCAGTGGGAATGGCTATGTCATGTTTTACAAGATACCAGATTTTACTGCATTTCCGTAGCAAAAGTTACTAATTTAATGATGGGGAGAAGAAATCCACAATATATTAAATAAATGCATACCTTTATTTCATAATCTTATGTTGCTTTTCTTATACATTTCTCCTGTTTCCTGCATCTCCTCTATTCATTACATTATGAATTACTACTTTAACATATTTTAAAGGTTAAATAACTTGCATCATTATTTCAGTGATCATATCATAGCAATTTTTGGATAGACTTGTTACATTTCTATTTAGTGTGTTTAAAATGAAATTAAGAAACAGATACTGTTAGATCTTAATTTTTAATAAATCATAGAATCATAGAATGGTTAGGGTTGGAAGGGACCTCAAAGATCATCTAGTTCCAACCCCCCTGCCATGGGCAGGGAAATCCTCCACTACACCAGGTTGCCCAAAGCCTCATCCAACCTGGCCTTGAACACCTCCAGGGATGGGGCATCCACAACTTCTCTGGGCAACCTGTTCCAATGCCTCACCACCCTCAGAGTGAAAAATTTCTTTCTTATATCTAACCTTAATCTGCCCTCTTTCAGTTTAAATCCATTGCCCCTTGTCCTATCACTACACACCCTTGTAAAAAGTCCCTCTCCAGCTTTCCTGTAGGCCCCCTTTAGGTATTGGAAAGCTGCTATAAGATCACCCCAGAGCCTTCTCTTCTCCAGGCTGAACAGCCCCAACTCTCTCAGCCTGTCTTCATAGCAGAGGTGCTCCAGCCCTCTGATCATCTTCGTGGCCCTCCTCTGGACTCGTTCCAGTAGCTCCATGTCCTTCTTGTGTTAGGGACTCCAGAGCTGAACACAGTATTCCAGGTGGGGTCTCACGAGAGCTGAGTAAATTACGGTGATTAATAGATCACTGTACAGCCAGCCTGTCTTTAAAATGAGCTAATGCAAAAACTAATAACCCTATTCTTCCCTTTAAAAAGGAACTACTTTTATTATTTATGGAAGTGATTGAAATGTTTCTGCAAGGTGTGTAATATCATTTGAACAAGTAAATGTACATTTCAAATGCTTTATCTTTGGAATTCGTTGTATAAAAAGTAATACAGTGAGAGGCTGCTTAGCAAAGACCAGAACTGGATTCTACTTACTGTATTCATGTATTTTATTAACAGAGGTACATATGATATTTATGTAAAATGCGATGGTGTTGGGAGATGTGTTGGAACCTATGATAACCGAGGAAGTTTTGGTGAGTTGGCCTTAATGTACAATACACCCAGAGCAGCCACAATTATAGCTACCTCTCCTGGTGCCATCTGGGGTTTGGTAAGTGAAATACTTGTTTTAAGATATTATTTTTTTAATTTATTTATAAAAATTGCAATAGTATGCTATATGAGCATAAAAAAATAATTATCATTTCAGAATTATTTTTTTTTTTAATTCTGAGAACTCCCCAAACAATACTGTCTTTTTCCAGAATCTGCAAAAGGAAACCTGAGGCTTAAGAAAACACTGAGCTTTATAAAAAATAATTTTAATTCTATTTTAATTATAATTTCCCAAATTGCAAACCACTTGACAATTACTTAGACACATATATAAAATGTTTTCTCTCATCTTGATAGGGAAATGTCTTTGGTTCCAGAGTAAAATTCCCATATGAGGTTATTTATCAGTGGTACACTATCTGGATCTTTGACAACAGTAATAGAATTTACCAAAAGAGTAAAACTGGGATAGCCATCTTCTTCAAGATGTACATATCAATCTAATGTCTGATCCCAAGATAACATTTTCCTGTTGAAGCAAAACGCGTGGTTTTCACCAACTTAATCCATGTGTCTTTTGGGATCATGGCAGAGTTTAGGACACTGTAAGAATGGCTTTAAATTGGATTGGGTAGTATTGACCAGCAAATCTTACCTGTAGCAGTGAAGGCTTGCAAAGCGTGTCACCTCTGTTTGTCACAAGGACACAGTCATATGAAGTGAAGAAAACAGCATACATGTAGTTTTCCATCTGTCTGCTTCACTTGGATTCCCAAATACTGAGGAATTTCCAGTTGGCTGTTTAGGCCAGCAGTGAGTCTTGTTCTGCTGAAATAGCAGAAAGTGGTCTGTGACCTACGACCCAGACCCATGTATTTCAGTTTTGTTTGTATAATAATTTAAAAACCTCTTTGAGGTTTCAATATGTATGGAACCTCAGGAGAATGAATATACCTCGTAAATTAAATATTGAGGATTTCTTAAATATCTTAGATGACCCACTCAGCGTTCATGATGTAGCCAACCTGTTTAAGGCAAACTCTGTACCCTTTGCATATATGTAAACTCGGTATGTATTCTCTGCTGAAGGGCAGAGGAGTTTTGTCACAACGTCAATCAGATCAGGAGCTTAACTTCAGGAGCTCTTGATTGACCTCTAGAGGAATCTTTCTCAACTGGCTGTATGGGGAGACTAGCCAGCTAGTTTAATGGCTCTGTTCTGACTAAAATTGGGTAATTCGAACATATTCGGCCATTTCTAAAGTACTTTCTACCACACACATATTTTCTGTTAATAAACTCTGATTTTCTCTTTGTGTTTACAGGACAGGGTAACGTTCCGAAGAATCATTGTAAAAAATAATGCCAAAAAGAGAAGAATGTATGAGAATTTTATTGAGTCATTGCCATTCCTTAAATCGTTAGAAGTAAGACTTCTATTGCATTATTTTAATGGCTGTATCAGAGGTACCTGATAAGATTCTGCTTTTGCAGAGTTTAAATTTGGAATTAAAATTTTTTCCACAATAAAATTTTGCATACTTTTGTTTTGGAGAAAGACTATATTTTTTTTACGTTTCTAAATTTCCAAGATAAAGAACTATTGTTAATATTGTATTTTTAAAATAACTATTTTACTTCTTTTTACCTTTACCTTCATTTTCTTAAGCTTAATTTTACTAGATATTAGCCAATAAAATTAAACAATTACTTAGGGGATTGCAAAATATTTTCATTTAACAGGTGTATTTTTACATGAAAATAATTTTTGAAGACGGGATATATAGACTTCTTACAAAAACAGAAGGTCTATCAAAACATCTAGCTGTTAAGACTATAATATGCCCTCTGGAACACTATGGAGCATCCTTTTTTTAATGATTATTAAAACAGGAAAATAAAGATACACTATTCTGTGTAAAGATTTGTGAAAAAAATATGAAAGGGCTTTCTAAATATAATATTGTAATGTTAACCAAATATTTCTTACATTTTCTATTTTTAAATGAAGGTATCTGAGCGTTTAAAAGTGGTTGATGTGATTGGCACCAAAGTGTACAAAGATGGAGAACAAATCATTGCTCAGGTAAAGGTTATTTCTAATTTTTTTCTTTTCCAGTAGGTAACAATTATCATGTTATCTACAGACAATACCTGCTTTTAAACTATGTTTTTTCTTTTCCAGTAGGTAACAATTATCATGTTATCTACAGACAATACCTGCTTTTAAACTATGTTTTTTCTTTCTCAGATGAAACAAAAACAATGAGTCTTGCATCTAAGAGAGGTGATTATTTTGTTTCAGAAGCTAATTTTTCGCTTTGAAAAACCTCCTCCTTTGCTGGTATGAATAAAGGAGTGAACATTCTTAGTATACTTAGAAATTCAAACTATGGAAAAGAATGATTGCTTCCAATAAGGAGCACTAAAGACTTACTTTGTTGTTCTTGTTAAAATATGATAATATTTTGAAGAAGAATGCAGAAGTAAACTCATCAGGGTAGGCAACTTGCCCCAAAATCCTTATTGCATATGAGATAGGCTTGGAGGCTTTTTATACTGGAAACTCTGTAAGGGAAACAATTTCGAAGGAATACAAAGGTGGAAAAACAGGAGTAGGGGTCGTAAAATCTTCCATAACTTTGTTTTTCACTGCTTTTTGTTTAAGGCACAGTCAGCTATGTCTTTTCTTTAAAATGCCTTGCTGTCAGTTCTGTATAGCTGTTTTGATTATTACATGCCTAGAGTATGGTTTCCACATTAAAAGTGATTGCTTTTGCAACAGGTATCAAAAAGATGAGCGTCAAGGCACTGGCTGCAAATATTTTGATGTTACCATGAAACTAGAAAGGAAATTTCACATTTCCCTTACTCACTTCATTATTTTTTTTCTTCTACAGGGTGACTTGGCTGATTCTTTCTTCATTGTGGAATCTGGAGAAGTAAGGATTATAATGACAAGGAAGGTAAACATCCCTAAACCACAGAATTTTATTTTTTTAAAGTGTTGATGTATTCTAATTTTGCTTATACAATCCTGAGTTCAGCTAATCTTTCTCTTCCTTTCGCTTTCTTTTTTTACCTGATATTTCAGGGTAAACAAGATGTAGAAGAGAATGGAGCAGTTGAAATAGCTCGATGCTCAAGAGGACAATATTTTGGAGAACTTGCTCTTGTAACTAACAAACCACGAGCCGCTTCTGCATTTGCTCTTGGCACTGTCAAATGTTTAGGTATTGTTCAATACTATTTTATATCTAATATAAAATGATGCATAATCTGTCTGGTTGTTTTTGTTGTGAACTCTGTCTTTCTGCAGAATATAAGATTTAATTACGTTTACTCAAATAAGACTGTTTAAGTACATCATCTATTACTGTGCCTTCCTATTTGCATTATTTATGTGCAAAAATTATTTGCAATTGATCACTAGTATTAAACACAAATTCTCCAATGTTTCTCTGATCACATGGAAGTACAAATTGTTTCAGGACAGTACAGAGAGTATTGCTGCAAACCATTTATAGCTATCAGATAAACATCTAATACTCTGCAGAAAGGTGAAATGTTTCTTTTCTCAGTAGACTGACTCTCATCCAAGAAATAACTGCTGTGAAAATCCTGTCCCGTTTTATCACCATGACTTAAGTTTTAACAAATTCTTTGTCTTCACCAGCTGTTAATTTAATCATTCCATCACGCCGTAGCCTCAAGCACAGGAAAAGCAAAGACCATAGGAGTTGTGCCCATAGATGACCCATCTGCATCCATTGCTTTTCATGTTCTGATGTTTAGCTCCTAAATATTTGTATCTAATTATGAGAAAACTGTAAACAGCAAAGACAAGATGTGGCAT